GTGTCAGTCTTTTGTCAACGTGAAAATGTTTGGTTTTTTTTCGCCTCACTTCACAGTGCCAAGGCGTCTTTGCGGTCAGCATCAATCATGTGTCTGTTACAACCGATGATCCCCCCGGGCTGCAATGAATCCTGATTTAAGCTGCTGTCAAGACACTTTAAGAACGAGGCCATGGACTGTTTCCAAGTGCCCGCGATTCTGCTCTCACAACACTACTCAGAAGACGACCACTAGTCATGCACTTATTCCTACAGGACATCCAAACATAGCTCATTTCACAGTCGGTGCATTAGCAAATCAGGACAACAGGTTAAATTACCCCAGAGTTACAGTTTCTTATATTTCTGGACAAGATCAGTCTGCAAGATTTTGATTTTAGTTAGCTGCTTGGAACAGCAAGCCAAATGTCTAAAAAGATTGCCTAACTTACTTTTTTAACACAACATGTAAAGTTAAGAATATTTTAAAGCACTTAAAAGATATGGTTAACATTATCTGACAGATTTCATCAATACAAATACCCGGAACTTGTTTTACATCAGCTATATTACGCAGTAAGCTGTGAGGGCAGTCTCTGTGACACAAAAGCCACTTCCATGGTTGGTAAGTGTTAAATATTTTAAAGTACTACATATGAGCTGAGCAGAGGAAAGGAGAGTGCAAAGAGAAAAAAGTCACGATGTAGTCTCTGGGTGTGACTGAGAACTGGAAGTAGAAGGAGCAGTGAGTGTCTGAGTAGCAACAAAAAGAGGCAAAGACTGTGTTTTAATGAAATATGTCTCAGTTGCTCTTGAATGAAATGTTAAGTTTATACATACTAAACAAGTAAAACGAGCTGAGGGGAGAGCTACAACATTTGTTTTAATGTTTACCACACCTGGGTCACAAACTACTTTGGCCACAATACACAGAGTGACTTATTACAACTACAGCACAATACCACAGACAGCAACACTTCAAGTGTCATGAGAGATAAACATATGATGGATGCAGAATGATGGAGCTAAATGTAGTGTAAAAATAATTGTAAAAGCAACCTATGAGCAGGCATTTAGCGGCCGTGGGAAGTAAGAACTCCCTTTTAACAGGAAGACACATGCAGCAGAGTTAGGCTACAGGTTGGGCAGCCATGTGCTACAGCTGGTTTCGAGGGTGAGGGAAGAGAGAAGAGTAGGGAGGTCAGGATTAAAAATGTATTAGTACAAACTTGTGACATATACTTTTATCCCTACTTCGCATTGAGAGCTAGTTTTCACATAATAATACAGACAGACAGACAGACAGACAGGCAAAAATTTAAGATGCTTTATTTCTACAATGTCATTTATGTTTTATTTTCACACAAGTGCACACTTTTACGTTTGCATTTTCCAAAAAGCTTTGTATACAGATTTCCTTTTAAATGGAAATCAAACAACTGAATCATATGAGGACTACAAGCACTTTCTGAAAATATTCTCAAAATATTAAAATGTATTCTTTGAGTTTTTAATCAGATGATTTGGGATTTTTTTTATTTGTTTTTAATTGCTCCATCTTATGTTTTACTTTCAGATCAGATTAGAGTACAATATACACAAATCCTGAGTCATACCAGTCGATATTATTATTTTGTACTTGACATCAGGCGTCTTGCCGCTCAGTCAGGTAATGAGTGAAAGGTTACTCTGAAGGTTAGAAACATGACCGCATCAGTCAAGGACTACTAAAGCACATATCTATAAAAGGAAGGAGGAAGTTTAAAAGAAATGTGATGTAAGCACAAGTGTTTTCTGCTGCCTTTTGCTGTGACAAACGGGCAAAAGGCAGCAGAAATACCAACACGCTTTAAGTTAATGAGTTAGTTGACTTAGTGACTTGGTTAATGATGACCCATTTGCTTCAGTTCAAACACACATACATACAAGAAACATCTAAATCTATCAAACCCTATTAGGATATACACTCACTGATCTGTTCATTAGGTACAACTGCTGCACTGCTTGTTAATGCAAATATATGAATGACCTGCCACATACCAGCAACTAAGCGCATTTAGGAATGTAGACACAGTCAAGATAGAGTTTACAGAAAATGATTGAAAAGTCAACAGAAGGTCTCTGGGTAAAAACCAGGTCAGAGAAAAATGGTCGCACTGTTTCAAAGTGAAAGGCAACAGTAACTCAAATAACCACATGTTACAACCAAGGTGTGCTGACTTTTAGCTCTGAATGCATCACATGCTTAACCTTAAAGCAGATGGGCTACAGCAGCAGAAAACCACACCAAGTCACTCCAGTCAGCTAAGAACAGGAAACTGAGGCTACGGTTTGCAGGATCCCCAAAATTAGACAACAGAAGATTAGAAAGACAGTGGCTGATCTTCATCAAAGCATTCTATCAATGGTTCAGGCTTCTGGTGGTGGTGTAATATTGAGGAGGATGTCTGAGACATTCTATGTATTTTAGTACCAGTGAAGCATCATTTAAACGCTACAGCCTACCAGTGTATCATTGCACACCACGTCCATTCCTTTATTACAACAATGTACCCATCTTTTCGTGGTTGCTTCCAACATATAACACACCATATCACAGAGCTCAAATAATCTCAAGCTGGTTTCTTGTAGATAACAATGAGTTTACTGTGTTCAGCTGGTCTCCATGGCCTCCAGATCTCAATCCAATAGAGCACTTCTGTGATGTGACGAAACAGGAGTTTCACATCATGGATGTGCAGCCAACAAATCCACACCAACTGTCATGTCATGTTAATATGGACCAGAATCTCTGAGGAATGTTTGGAGGACCATGTTGAATCTATGCCAAAAAGAACTAAGTCGACTGTGAAAGCAAAAGAGGGTCCAACCCAGTGCCAACCCAGTGAGTGCAGATGGAATGAAAGAGGAAAAAGTAAAATCGCAACTCATAGATATGTTTAAAAAAAATAAATGAATATGATGTAAAGGGCGCTGAAACTTAATGTCACAAATATCAGTCATGTTTGCTGCAGCCACTGCGAACACATATAGAAAAACTTTCACAAACCTCTCCACTGCATTGAAAACAGCAAAGTTAAATGCACTTGAGTCAACAATGAAATTACTTACAGAGCTTGGCAGCAATCCCTTACATCTCTCACTTTCCAAATCAAATTACAAAATGAATTTTCATGTTACATATTCTCTTATTTCATTTATGAAATGCTAGCTAGAATACTTATTCTAACAGTAAAAGTACATTTTTTAGTGTCACATTTTCTGTTGGCTGAGGAAACACAAATGCATCATCAAACCTGTGCAATCAGGGTGTATGCACGAAAATGCACGTGCAAATGCATGATGATGCAAAGCTAGATTATTTGTCAGTGTGTTTTTTGTTTTTAACTATTTTTCCCTCAGGTATTAAAGAAGCAAACCTAATCCTACTTCATCTGTCCTCATCTCCTGTCTCTTCACTTGTTCGCATCTCATCTTAATCTGCTCTTTTCCCACTTCATATCATCTTATCTCATGTGGTCTCAACTCATCCCCTAGTCATGTCTCATTACCTGTAACCCCATTAGATCTGTCTTCATTACTTTTACTTCCTCTCATCACCCATCATCTCATGTTGCACTTTTTTCCATTCCTAGTTCCACTATTAGATCCAGATCATGCACTTTGTAATCTATTTGGTATAGAGGTATACAGTAAAACTAATAAGACAGAACAATAACGCTGCACTATAACCTCGGAAGATTATGCCACTGCTTTCTTCTCGGGCAAAGGAAAGGGCCAAAAAGTGACCAAAAAACTTGGATAAAGATGGTAGCGTCAGGAAGTAACTAATGCTTGAATGCGGCAACTTTATTTGGCAAAATGACATTTCTCCACATTATGTAACTGAAAGGCTTATTGACGAAGCTGTAAGATCAATTTCAATGAAGTCACTGCATTCTTTCATTTACCTCTACAACTGAGCATGGTGCACTTTTCCTATACAGATTTAATGGATAACAGAGCTTTTGCCAACCTCTGTAGGGAAACGTGTGCTAATGTGCTTAATCACTTTCAGACAGCAATCTGGATGATGCTCAGAAAAGTCTGGAGCACTTCAAAAATGATGAGATGAAAAGCTTTGGAGCAAGTGAAAGAAAATGTGCCTATATGATTTTATGCATGCTGTATCTTTAGTGTTGTTCTCATGAGATTTGATATTATGACAACATAACTTGAAAATGACATTCCATTTTATTTGACTGAAACTTAAAAACTTGAAGTTTTCTCTCTGATGTTTTGGGCTGAATGATTTTTGTGAATGCAATCGTTACCATTAGCCTTCATGCTTGCTGCCATATGGTTTCTCTTGGGGCACCCTGACTCAGCATGATGTGTGGTGTGGGAATATACCTGCCATCAATCTCCAGCAGTGCCGCTGGTTTGACAACCAGCCACTTTTCATGAAAACAAAAAAGACAGGATGAACCTGTGGGCATGCACAGGCCTGTTGCAGCCTCTGTCTAAAGGAAAGGACACTGAGACAGATGGTCGTGAGTCTAGGGGACAGTCCCTCTGAAAGAAACGTTTGTGCGCAGGCTAAACAAAGCCAATGGCATCAGAGCATGCTGTCTGTTTAAAAACCCTACCAGGAAAGACTTGAAACTGAAATCAGCTGATCTGCTCGACGTATATGGAGAAACTGTGATGATAAAATGATACCAAACAAATTAGCTTGTAAGGTGGGCGGTTGTTTATGATCACCACATAAATCTACAACGAAACTGGATGTATATATCTGGCCAATACAGTCCTCGATGGTGGAGACAGTAAAGAAATCAGTGGACTGGAAACAGATGAGTGCATAGGGGCAGTGGGACGTCGCATCAGCACAATCATGAAACTTGTCTCGTTTATTGAATTAGCAAATCAATAAAGTCTTGCCTGCTGTCTTCTTCAGGCTTTAGGGGGTAAAGAGGAAAAAACAGTACGACAACAGAAAAGCTCCTATGTGCGTTTGGGACTACACGAGTCTTTACTCACAGAATCACTTGCGTTTTTACGCAGCTGCTCCTCCTCTCCCGTCACAGCGGCCGGGTCCACCACCAGCTTCTCGAAGCACGCTGAGCCGAGAGAGGAGCTCTTCTGCTGGTACACCATCAGCTGGGACATCGGGAGTTTTGGGCTTCCGTGCGCCGTGAGCTCTGGTTTGCTCCCCGTTGCCCCAGAAGCCGTGCCAAGAGGCTGTAGCAGAGGCTGTCCGCCGCTGCTGGTCCCAGGAACCGCATCGCTTCCGAGAGCCTTGTCTCCCTCAAAAGGTGCCGGAGTAGAGCAGCATAGGTTCGGCTGCGACGATGAAAATACCCGGTCCAGCTGTTTCTTTTTTCTCTTAAACATCCAAAGCCCCGATTCCTTCTTGCTCCCCTCCGCGCCCCCGGCACCACGACGCTCTGATCCCAGTTTCGGGCTCAGCCACGGCTTGGTTTTTTCCTGGAAATTCTTCCACATTCTCCGCTGGTAGGACAAGGACTCTTGCCCCTTGGCTGTGCTCTCGTGTTTCGGTGATTTTTGCTCCATTGTGCCTGTGCAGCAGCCAGCCAGCCTGAGCACACTCTGTATAGTGGACGGATGTCACAGTTGGGCAGCTGCGGCTCGGGTGCACTTCCACTGATGATCAGTTTTTAGAGCGCCAAGAACGAAACGCGCTGTGCGACGATGAAGGAGGGTGTCAATCTTCCTGCGAACCTTGCAGAATGCCTCTGCAGACTACTCTGTAAATTTTTATGTCCCACTGTGCAGTGGGCTAGTTAGAAGGAAGGCAAGAATTCATGTAAGATTTAAGATATCTCACCTCAGCGATGAAAGTTGGAGCACGTGCTGTGACTTCATCGCGATTGCGTAAGAGATTTTAAAATTATTCGCCCGCTTTTCTTTGACTCTCGTCCACGGTGTTTAACCAGGGGTTAGGCAAACTTACCCATTAATTATTGTATTCAAATGAAGGACGAAGGGTGCACCACGCCGCCCTCTGGCCAACCGTGTCACTTGACTGGGTAATCTGTATGCTGGCGATTGCATAACAGTACCCCACAGTGCCTCGTGGAGATGTTTATAATTTAATTGTGGGTCCCATGTCATTCCCATCTGAGTTTATATCTTTGTATTTCAGTACTTTATCATACGTGCATTTTTTTTAACCCTCCACTTTTTTGACCTTGGGAAAGCTGTGCAGACAGAGACTTGATGTCCCCTTTGTCACATGGATGGTCTCGCGCTGTTTAAGCAAGTCTGGATATGTTTCACTGAATGTTATCACCCACGTGCAGCAGCGAGCAGGCATCACTGAGCAGCCTCCCCTCTCTCAGCTCTCTCTTTAGTTGCTGCGCTGATGTATAATAACTCATTACGTCTCCCACCCCCCGGCCCTTGTTTCAGCGCTGGCTGTTCTCTGCCCTCCTGTTTAGCACTGTGTCCTCTCTCTCTTAGAAACAAACACACAGAGACAGTAAGAATGAAGAACACGGATTAATCAGAAAATTATCATCAGTCTTTGGTGCTGTGCCATGAATTCGGGGATGGATTAGAGATTCAGGTTCTCTTTGCTTGAAATTTCTGTCATCTCCCAAAATGAACCATTTTCATTTACAGCTAACAGGATGGTGAAATGCTCTCAACGTCTCTTTAAGTTAAGTAAATCGTGGTGTAAGCCAAACTGTCCCTTTCGGCTCCCAGGCTTTTCTATAGGGCTTCCATGGAAAACTGATGAGTCTGCTCTGAGAAGGCCTTTCCTCTTAATGACCTTGATCCCATTGATAAGAGACTAATCCACTGTGTGTGTGTAACAGAGAGGGAGAGAGATACATAGACATGAAATATTTTCTTTCATGAGTATAACTACATCTAATTCAGAGCCACTACCACACTTGAAACACTGTGTATCCTGTGATTAAACGAAGCAGAGATCCGATCTGTTCACCTGAATCCAAATACTTAGGGTTGGGTCAAGCCTTTAAATTGAGTTGAGTATGCCTTGTACAAATAATCACATGTTGTGTTTCACAGGCTCAGTCTAGACCCTGACCTATCTGGTACAAGCGGTTCCTCGTTGTTGGTAGCCTCAATAAATTAAGGTTAAGTTCTTCACCGAAGAAGCCACACAGGATTGAGCTTGCTTTTTTATTTAATTTGAAGTGTTTCCAATCAAAAAACATGTCTGCCACCCTTGTTCCCACAGGAACAAGCAAATCCAAGCGATCCATGGGGGAGTCTGTCTTACTTTTATCAGTGTAATAAAGGGATTTAGTGACTCTGGATTTTAATTAAATTACAGAGCATTTGTATTTGTACAGTCATTGCCCACCCTAAGCTTTATTTAAAGCTCTCCACGATAAGCATTTTCTGGCTTGTAGGACTAATAGAGAGGAGCTTTAATGATGCACTTTCGTGGTCCAGTGCAAAGAGCCTGGATTAAACTGTATTTTAAACTATTAGCATAATACAGTAAGACAAACTCCAGGGAACTGGAGTGTCAAATGCAATATTTGAAGGCAATACAAACTATCAAAGTTGGGATGAAAAATAACAGCCAAAAATTGAAAAAGGTATTAGGTTATCTCAATAACCGCTTTTTTAAAAGCTGGTGTTTTGAGGTATGTTGTCACGAGAACTGCTGCTAAGAAGGCTGACCAGTTTCTCAGCAACATTTCTACGAATTACAACTATGTTTCACGCTTTCTGGTCATCAAATATTTTGCAGAGTTAAACTGCCTCGCCACATAGACAATGCATTTTTTTTTTTTTGCAAGACTGTTCACACTGGCAGGCAGGCACACCCCCATGAAAGGAGACCACAGTTACCAAGTGACAACACAAACACATAATCTCTAAAGCTGGCTGAAGAACAGCACAGACCTGTGAGTATTCTTATATGACAAATAAAAAAATAGCAACATTTGTTTAAAGTCTTTATCAAAAATGTTCAAAATGTCTCGTGATGCTCCCAGTGAAAGATAGAATATATAATATGCTTAATTTAACAAAAAGAATGATAAGGAGGATATTTGAGTAGAAACTATCACACTAATATATTTAATACATATCTCTTTGTAGACAATAAGAATGTCTCATCATCAGTCTGACACACAGAGTCACACAAGGTAACCTTTCTCATTCACATATCCATATTCAGTGCATACATTCAGTATATTGCAGTCATTTACTTTTCACTTTCAATTTGTGTGGGTTGCTTTCAGTTTAAAATCCGATCTGCGCTTAAGAGGTGAATAAGATGTGCGCGACCGCTCGCTGATGGGATTGAATTAAGGTTGTGAACCTTTCGAACACTGCTGTGAATCAAACTGATAAAATTAATCCTTAATCCACAACAGCCTCAGACAGGTCCAACACAGCATGCACAGGGACATGAAGACAGAACCCAAGGGCATGAAAACCAATGTACAACATTTCAATCCATCTTCATTCTCTCTCTTAGTAGATCAACTCTTTGTAGAATTGCACTTTAAAATGACTTTTTTCTTCTTCAACATGACTTTGCAATATTTGCAACACATGTTTTTGCATCTTCTAAATACTAAAAACCCCAACAAAGAGCTTCTAAAACATTATAAGCTTGATATTTTTTTGTTTACTTCCTGATTAAGGCCAGATGTCTTGGAAGGTCGTTTGAGAAGTCAGGATAGGCCACTAGCTGTGCTGCTAGAACAAGCTCTCAGAATCAAAGAGGAGGTGACAGCTGGTCTGCAGTCCAGCCATGGCTCTGTCCAAATTGAGGCACTGTCCCGCAAGCTGTTGGAGAATCACATACTCACCATTACACGTATTGTTAAACAACTCAGCATGGGCATACAGGTATGCAAGGTGGTGGAAGTAAGTTGTGAAAAGTGCTGTTGCATGCATGTTTAGGTATTAAAGTATTGTGTAAGTCTTTTTCTTGTTTTTTGTGGAATATGCTGTACGTCTTTTAGGTGGGTGAAGTCAAGCATATGTGCTGATTGTCTCCTTTTCTGGCTGTTCTCTTCTCCTTGTATTGTTTGATGTGCAGCACACCCACGCCAACTCATGCCCACAAACTCCCAGCTGATTTGATTACACCTGATAGAATGGTGCAGTGCTCAAATAAAGCCTACTTGACTTCTCGCCATCATCAGCTCATGCACATTTTGTCTGTATAAGCATAAAGTGATCATGTGCACAGTATGTGGTTAACTAAATACTCTCAAGTTATGCGTTGAAATTCTAACAGCTATTCCCCTGACAGTCAAGCAGAAGAACTGCAAAAGAGTACACGGATCTTAGTCTCGCGGAACAAGTGTGAGGGTGTTTGGAGTCATCTTTCACTGAGCAGAACATCAAACCACTCTCTGAAAGCTGCCTTACAGAAGTAGGGCACCGGAATGAAACATTCAGCTTCATTAGTGTATACCAAATGGGCCATTAGCATGATTAGAGGCTATCATCGTTTGAAATATTACATGAATGCCAACAAACTAATTAATCCTGCAAATCAAGAAGCAATCAACTAAGTAAAGGACTGAATACTTTGCAAAATCAAATGTAAGCCACATCACACAGTCACACTGTTTGCTTTCATGATAATGCCAGAGGGTAATCCATTTGATTTAAGGTTATTTTACACATGCAGCCTATACAGCAATCAGTCATGCAAGTGCGCTGATGAAATTCTGCCAGTTTTAAGTGAGCTTTTGTAGCGAAGCACGTGTCGTTTGCATTTAATGTTTATCTTGATGGCATTGAATGCTGCATAATTAGTTCAAATCTGAAGCTTCCTGCTGGTACTTTCCAAACAAATCATGTACTTCCTCATCTGGTTTTTCACTTAATTTGCTGGGAAAACAGTCACATCTTTTTTTTAACAAATGTGAAACATGCTGTCTTTGTTCTGGGTAAAGGAATTAGAGAAAGAGATGGCCCAGCGGGACTCTGTCACCTCTGGAGTGGCACACGCTGTTCAAAACATGGACCAGAAAAACACAGCTGGCGTCGGAGACCTGAGAGGAAGAGTAGCCAGGTAGGCGCTGTGTGAGTCCTGAGTCAGACATTGCTTTCAAATGCTGAGATAAAAACTGAACAGCAAGTGAAGGAAACAAGAAGGCATTATTTTGATTGACTGGAGTGATCTGACGTTCCTCGCTGATACCCTGCGTGTTTAGCCTTCATTCTGTCTAGCAACTCTTCACCATTGCACAACCTCAAACCAGTCCTGGCATACACACAGACATGCACAGATGCAATTATTTTGTTCCCACCTGGGTGAGGTTCCCAGGTTTAAATGCACTTTAGATGCTGATTAGCACTTGCTCATTATTCTGTGATTCTGTGCACATCACACTTACTGCACTGGATTGCTGAAAAGTGTCTGTCATCTCACATACATTGTGATTGGCCTTTTGATGTGTAGTTGCCTAGCCTAGACCTAATTATTTCTAACACTTCTGGCATCCACTGATCAGTGCATTTCATGTGTAAAGAGATAGAAGACAAAGATATGTCATTTACAAAGCAGGCATATCAGTGAGATTTCAGGGGGTGGAAATGGGGCTGATGCAGGGTCCAATAAAGAGAGAAGAAGAAAAACAAGTGGTCAGTGTGATAGCCTCTTTCATGTTGTTCATAATTAATCAAGTAAGCTAAGGGCCAGTGGTTTTTGTGTTGGTTGGCACTGGTCAGTGAAGCCATTAAGAGAAGCACTGGACTGGTCTCCAGGGAAAAACTCAAATTTCAGACCAATCGTTTATCACAAATATTTTAAAGACACACACTCACACAGGCAGGCCCAATAAAGCCGTAAGAGAAAGCCTTAACAGGCTGACATCTTGAACCAAGCAATGAAAGGAAGGAAGCTGTACTGCCATGCTGATTAAAAGAGTTGCTGCAGTTGATACTTATCGCTTCAACTGAATTCAAAGTTTGCTAAAAGCAACATTTTCCAAGTCAGAGGCTGTAAGTTGTGTTTTTGCAACGTCCTAATTGCTTTTGGTGATAAAGAGATTTCTCACTTAACCCTCTCAGGTTCAAATTAAGTTTTCTGAGTAAAAAAAACAAATAAAATATGTATGTGGGGTAAACAGGTTGTTAGTTTTTAACTGTTGCAAATCGGCAACGTCTGCCTTGAGAGGGTTAATTTATTCTCATAGTTTTTTGGGTGGGTGGGAGCGTCTTTGTACCAGTGAGTCATTAGTAGATGCAAACAAGTGACCACTGAAATCTGTTCAGAGTAACCATCCTGACTGCTAAGGTTTTACCAGAGCCTCTTCTTCTTATTTATTGCATGATCTTGCTTTGCAAATTGATAACAGCAGTGTAACATTTTTTCATTCTAATTTTGTGATTCTATTATACAACTTTTTTTTTTCTAGTCTTTTGCTCATCCCTCTGTCTTCACACCTTCCCCAAACTCCCTTCAATCCCATTTTTCTCATTCAGTGGTCTCTCACCAGCTCTCTGTTCTTCCCCACCTATTATCGCAGGTGTGATTCCAGCATTGCCAAGCTGAGCGCTGACGTGAGCTTCAGAGAGCAGCAGGTGATCAGACTGCAGAGGGAGGTTCGAGAGCTCAGCGAAGCTGTGAATGGACAGCTCAAAGAGCTGGAGGACAAGGTGGGGAAAAAACGTATGCATGCTGACAAGGGTTTAGCAGAAAAGGAGTTACGAGAGCAGTTGAGCAAAACTTTGCACTGTGTGCAAATCAGCTACTACACCAGTGCCCCAATGAGAGTTTTCACAAGTCATAAGTTAATATTGTAACACGTATTTGCCATATTTAGGTTCTTTTTTTTTAATCTCTTTGACATTGATGCCATCAAAAGCATTATTCTCCAGTATGATAGCATACTGGCATGAACTGGCATTCATGATCATTACCCCTTGCATCTCCTCTATCTAAACACACGCTCAACACAATATTCATTCATTCATTCATTTGAATTCTCTATTCCCAAACTAAAGGATAATGTACTGTTTTGTTATTGTCATTATTATTTTTTTACATTTGTAGAGAGAGGTTGCGTTTATTTGAAAGCTTGATGCATTGGAAGGATCATAACCTGGTAATATGAACAGTATTTATCCGCACTGTACACTTTATTAGGTACACCTTGCTAGTACTAGGTTGGGCCTCCTTTTGACTTCAGAGGTGCCTGAATTTTTTGTGGCATAGATTAAGCAAGGTGCAAGAAAACCTCCTTGGAGAATTTGGTTCATATTGACATGATAGTATTTCACGATTGCTACAGATATGTCAGCTGCGCATCCATGCTTTGAATCTCTTATTCTGCCACATACAAAAGGTGCTCTCCTGACTGTGGAGGCCAATATTCGCATAGGCTGTGGTGTCCAAACAATACTCATCTGGTACTAAGAGGCCCAAAGCAAACAAGAAAATACTCATCATCACACCATCATCACCAGCAGCCTGAACTGCTGATACAAGGCGGGACAGATCCATCCTTTCATCCTGTTTGCGCCAAATGATGACCCTAACTTTTGAATACAGCAATTGCAGGTTCATCAGACCAGGCAACATCTTCAGTTGTGCAGTTTTAGTGAGTCCAGGCAAATTGTAACTGGAGAGGTACATTTTGTGGTCTTCTGCTGCTGTAGCCCATCTGCTTCAATTTTTCATGTCCTATGTTCAGAGATGAACTTCTGGATATCTTGGATATAGAAAGTGGTTATTTGACTTCAGGTTGCTTTCTCAGCAGCCTGAAGCTTTTAGACCATTCTCCTCTGACGCTTAGCATCAACAAGCCATTTTCACCCTAAGAACTTCCACTCACTGGATATTTTCTCCTTTTCAGGTCATCTTAACCCTAACCCTAGAGAAGGTTGTGCAGGAAAATCCCAGTAGATCAGCAGTTTCTTAAACGACCAGGCCAACCTGGCACTAGCAATCATATCATGTTCACAGTCGCTTAAATAACCTTTCATCCCAAATATTTAGTTTCAGCTCGTCATCTTGACCACATCCACATACTTAAATCCACTAAGTTAACAACCAGTTAAACAGGTGTACCTAACAAAGTGGCCCAGTGAGTATATTTTGCTGTTTATCCAAGAGAGGATGGCTAGCTGAGCTGTGATGGGATGACATTTGGAGCTTACTGCTGCTGAGTGAGTTTGACCTTATCAAACAAACTCAGAGGCTCAGTCATAACCAGAGTTTGAAAGAAAGAAATGAGATGGGAAATAAATTCTAATGGGATGTCAAGGTCGTCATAAAAAAGCTTTCACCCCACCCCCACCTACACCTCCCGCCCAAACCCTACCTTTTTTTTTTTTTGGACAAGGTCAGCATTATAGAAAATATGAAAACCCTGGATTACGATAAGTATGTCACATATTATAATGCTTTTTACTTGACCTAAAGCAACCAAAACTGCCTTCAACACTCTCGCTGATTCAGCCAGCCTTCAGTTGTGTTGGTAGTATGGGGTGGTAAATCACTGTGATGACAGCACATTAGCTGTGGGCCAGTGGTCAAGCGCCTACCATAAAAATAATTGAAAACGCATACAAAGTGGGTCACCGGTATAACTCTCAGTCATGAGTGGCCACAGGAGTGGTGCATAGCACAGTCTGCTCAGCAAAGCAGAAAACACAAAAGGGTAAAGGTCAGAAACAAAGCTGACGATTATGTTTGTGTGTTTTCTTGTCACCAGATTCATGTTGAGCTTAGAAGACTGGAGGCCTCACTGACAAAGTCTTCTAAGGACCTAAAAAACTCGATGTCTGATCTGCGTAGACAAGTTAAGCTATTAGAAGACAAGTAAGACTGTTAATCATGCAACAAACCTAATGTTGTGGTACTAAGGATTCCTGGAGACACCCAACACTGCACCAGGTCATTCCATGAATTTAGCTGCTGATCATGTATTTTCTGGCAGCTACTGTGAAAAGTTGACAACTTTCTTAGTTGATTTGCTGTTTAATAGTGTTCCTCAAAACACCAACATAAATTCTTACCTACAACCATTCCCAACTATAGTTTCAGCTGCTCCAGGGCTACACATTCCCAAGCCACATTCACCCTGAAATATTAATGCAGGAGGCACAATAATGGTGAAAGCTTGTTGTCCGTTTACTATTCCATCTGAGAAATAATGTCAGCTGGAAGCAATATATAAACATTTTAGAAGCAGAGAGACGTGAATGATAGATATGTTCTATTTAATACTGTTGTACCTGCAATGGAAAGCAGCCCACTGATCATATTAGAGCCATAAGAACAGATAAAAATAGGCGATTTTTGTGTTTCTGAAATGCGTCACAATAATAATGTTGAAAACAAGCACCAAAAAAAGAGAGGCTTCCTTTATTTTATTTGGATTATAGATTTAATATATTATATATCCATCCACCCACCTAGGCTGTGCTTGACCATTGATGGATAGAGCTGGAAAAGATGAAACATACCGAGTGATGTTGTCTACACGCTACTCAACCTAATTTGTTTTTTTGTTTTTAAGTGGCCAGGTCATTTTTTGAAAGTAGGCACTGCTGATGTCAGAAAGATTTTTTATTTTTTTTATTAATGTTCAGTCTACAAAGACAGTTTATTGGATTTTGAATCCTGGGTGTCATTGGTTCTTTTTGTTCTGACTGTCTCATGTATGACTACACTGAGCCACACTTGCTGGGAGATTTTCTTAGATGCAGTTTAGTCATTAAAGGCCTCATTAGTCTCAAAAAGGTAGTCAGTCAGGATGACCTTTGTTTTTTAAGTGATGAGATCCAGTGTCCGCTGGAGGTGGCGATGCAGGGACAGTTGGGCACTAGAGACCATGTCTGCAGATATAACAGAAAAAACATTTGAAATGAAATAAATATGCCAGACAAGGCCACAAGGACTTCAAATTAAAGGGCATCACAGACTGCCCCTTTACATTTACAAGCTGACTTTCAAATATGTGCAGACAAGTGCATTCTGAAAACTTATCTAACAAGAGCCAAGCCAACTGTCATGTTGTCTAGTGTCAGCGTGAACTGCATTAGGCAGCTGGAATGATAACGGAGTGCAGTATTGTGACACCTGTACAGAAAAAATGATTTGCAGCAGTGACACACAGGCGAGTGTCTACTGATTGTCTCAAGGACACTTTAGACAAGAGGAATAAGACTAAAGAAGGTCTCGAGGTACTTTTTGAGTCCGATAGTTTTACACAGTCCACACAATATTTCATTCAGTTTGGTTGCAGCTTCCATCAGAAACATTTCAGTACTGTTCATCAAATGAGAACCACATGCAGCTTTCAATGACCACCTCCCCAGATATTACAAAGAGAGAAATATTCATATGGTCCAAATACAAATACAGCATTCAGAGCTACAGAGCACAAAATTTCCCACCACTGTTTTTCACACTGCTGTTTTGGTATTTCTCAGTGGTGAGCTTGACGTGACATTAAGCAAAACAAGAAGCACTGTTGCTGATGAAATCTCACGTCTGATTACCAGACTGTGAAATTATGAACACTGACTTTTTAACAGCTAAACCTAAAGCATGTTCCTTTTATAGTAAACTTACGGGTTACAAATTATTAATTTAGTACTTTCATTCTCAATCACACAATCACACATTTTTACTTGAAAGCTATTTAGTAGAAGTGGAAGTGCCAATAAAGCATTGGTTTTCTAAATAGACACAAACTTTATTTCCTGTAGGGCTAAACTAGCAGAAAAGAACTGATATGTCCTTGAAAGTTGCAAGACTGTGTAAACTTTTAGATCCTAAGACATTTATGAAATGAAAAATCTCTACCTAAATGTAAAGAAGTAAAGCTATTACAGTTCACTTTGTATTCCTTGTGTCTTTGCAGAATGGCAGGAGAGCTTGACGAGGGCAAGGAGCAAACAGCAAAATTGAGGACCTGGACAGAACAACAGCTCAAGAACTCTCTCCAGTCACATGCCGAGGACAACCAGGAGCTGGTTTCACTATTACAAGACAAAATGGTACAATATACATAATGGTTTAAAAATGTTTGACATGTACACTCACTGAAAACTTCATTAAGTACACATGTTCAATTCTACATATTTAGGTATATTGACATGGTCAAGATGACCTGCATGAGAATGGGGAAGAAAGGTGATTCAGCTGACTTTGAACGTGGCGCGGTTGTCAGTGAACAGGAAATTGAGGCTACACTTTGCACAACTCACTAAAAGCAGACAATAGGAGATGGAAAAAATGTTGTATGGTCTGGTGAGTCTCTCAAAGGGGCCAAAAGTGTGTCACACCATTGCACCACCACCACCCTGAACCACTGATACGAGACAGGATGGATATATGATTCGTGTTGTATACACCAAATTCTTCCCCATAAATCATGGATCCATCCTGTCTCGTATCAGTGGTTCAGGGTGGTGCTGGTGGTGCAATGGTGTGGCACACTTTTGGTAAACAGACATTCTGTACTTAAGTAGAAGTACAGACACCAGTGCTGAAAAATACTCCAGTAAAAGTTGAAGTTGAAGTAAGTTGAATTTTTCTAAACAAAGGTACTCAGCTTGAATCAGGTAAGTAGAACATGAGCAGAGAAAAAAGGGAAAATAAAAAATAGCTCTATTTTCTGTTGCCTAGATTGTAGAGGGTGACTTTGCCTCTAAACAGGAAAATTAGTAAGCAAGAGGTTAAAGGTAGGTTCAGTGTGTGGGAAAAGAATCACAACTCACCTATTGAGAGCTCCAGTAGTCTATGATCCGCTGAAATGCTGCTCTTTGTGGATGGACACAACTGAATTCAACCAGATGTCAGGACGTGTTTCATGAGTTGTCCTGGCTGATTTCCATCCACTGCAGTGACAGTACACTGTTTACTCTATTTAAGTACAGTAACAAAGTATTTGTGCTTTGTTACTTAATTACTACCCACCTCTGCTATGATTTATTTATTAATTTTAGATGTTGTGGACTATAGCATGACAATTATATAACTACGCTCCGCCAAGTTTAAAAACTGAATTTTCATGTGTATGCTGTGCTTAGTTAGGGGCGGAGTCTAGATTGGCTGACCGCCTGCTTGCCCTGGAGGCACGTGTGGAGAAGTTTGACATCCAGCAGAACCAGGCTGAGCGCAGTCGGCATGATCAGCTGAAACGCTCAGAAGACAAACTTAGCAGAAGAATAACCTTAGTGGAGAACAACCTTCATCAGGAGCTGCAGCTGCTCAAACAGCAGTACCACAAAGGTGGGTGATCACTGCTGGTAACTTGCTGTCATCAGAGAGCAAACACACATGTACTGCATGTTCTTCACCAAACACGTCAAGGAAAATAATGGACATGCGAGAGCAATTCACAAGAGTCTGAAAAATAGAAAGAAAGGAAAGGAGAAAAATACTTATAATAAGTAATCGTAAAATGGATATAAGCGATTAACCCCACCAGGCAGCCAACATTTATTTTTACCACAAATGAGATGTTTATTGTTTCCTTTAATTACAGTAGTCACTGACTTGGTGTTGATATGTTAAACGAGAGTTCAGCTCGGATGCTTTCCAGCTCATCATGTGGTCTAATAATTGGCTGTACAACAGTAGTATAAAGGATCTTATCCTGCACATATGTAGTTACAACACAGCTAGTATGCTGCGAGCCAATCCACAGGAATAGGCAGTCAACTAGCCTGCCAAATACTCTAGCTCGTCTCCCTATCATGCTGCTGTTGACATCCATCCTCATCTCATTTCCCAGGATGCCTGACACTAGATCTCACATCTGCCTCCCTTCCTGACAGTCTCTCTCACTCCGCAGCTCTTATTAAAGAGCAGACATATAGAAAAGTGCCCAAACTTCCCTTGGTAAATAAGACCATGGGTAAACTGATCTATGAATCACTACTCAGCCACTGCTAACAGCACTCCAGAGCCATTCATCCACTGTGCTATTTTAAGTGTGGGATGAAAAGAAAGAAGGAGATGGTATGAGAGAATAAATGCATAATTGATGAGAGTTGTAAATATCCGTGGCAAGAAAGACATTGAGTTATGGAGCTGGAAAGAGAAGATACTTAATATCTCAAAGGGAGCCTTTCAACCCCACAGTCTGTTACTTCCTAGAATACATTCTGTAATAAAAATGCATCAGCTCTATGTACTATTACATAATTAACTAGGTATTAAAAATATAAGTAATGATTGGGAGCAATTAAGCATAGAAT